CAGAATGTCCTGAATACTTGAGACCTACGAGAAAGTCTATTTCAGTTCTTATGAGGTTTGGTTTTACTCAGGTTTTGATTTATGCTTTCACTTATAATGATCTTCCTGTACCGTAGATCATTTTGGATTTGCTTCAAAAGGACGGCCCACCGGATTCTAAAGCCATTCAAACGCTCATAAATAAGCTGAAAGTCTTAGCGGTAAGAAAGGACTTTTTCTGTTCCCTGAGAAATCATGCAGTCATGGACACGTTTAAACATGGCGTGTGTGTCAATTCAACCTAAGTGACGGTATTTGCTGTGTTTTACAGAAGGACCCAGAGGTGGAGAAATCCCAAACGAACTTCATGGTGCTGGTGCAGAACCTGCTCAAGAACCCAGCGGAAAAAAAGCGCTTCTTCCAGGTATCCTCACCTGTGTTAATATAGTAATATACCATCGTTTGTTGTCATCACATAAAGCTATTTCCTGTTTTACACTAACATCTGCCTCTCATTTAGATGTGGTTTTATTAAAACACAGTGAATATGTAGTATAGCACAATACATTAATTTATATCTTTTCGCAGGGGTGTCCGCGGGGTCTTAAAAAGTCTTAAAAATTGATAAATCAATTTAGCGAAAATGAAGGCTATTAAAAAGTATTAAATGGCATTTTCCAAGGTGTTACATTTTGTAGCTTGTTTTCAATAAGTATATGAATGGTCCAAAGAGGTTGTATTCTACAGTCTGCCTGAATGTAATCATTGCGTAGGTGTGTAGTGTGATTCTGTGTAGTTTATTGATCGTCGTCAGGACATCGCGCGCTCACTGCTTGATAGCGCGCGAAGGTCCGTTTACGCCGGTTGTTAAACAACATCGTTATGGGGAAATGCAAGTTTGCGTCCAAATGGTTGGAAGATAAGGAGGAAGGACCATCCATACTGTATATAGTCAATGTGAGGTAAAGTGTGTCGCCAAGGTAACCAGTTAAAACTCAAAGTGGCGATGAGGTCTTAAAATGTATGGAAAGGGTCTTAAAAAAGGTCTTAAAAGGTCTTACATCTGACTTCAGGATTCCTGCATATACCCTGACCCTGTACCATAACATAATGTGCCTAAATGGCTCTTACACATCGGCGCTCACAACTCAAACGTCTTTCTCTCCGTGCAGGAAGTGTTCCCCGTTCAGTACGGGACGAAGTTCGACGTGGCGCTGCAGGCTCTCACTGCAGGTCTGGTCTGCAAGCTGGAGCAAGTTCTTCCTGTTCCCAATCTCTCCCAGGTATACACTTGTACATTTGCTTTCTGACATTTATTGTTATTAGGGATGCACGATAATTATCGGTCCGATATTAGGAATTATGACGTCATCCCGATAAACCCGATGCCAGTATTAATAGCCCCGATAATATACAATATATTTTTTGGGTAAAAAAAAAATACTGCGGTGTGGGTGGATTGGGATGAGGGGCGCTTGTTTTTCACTCGGCTCCTCCCGTTTTGCCAGTACTGTGGTATTAGTGGTTTAGGAAGAGGGGAGTTCTTCACAAATCCAGCGCTCCCTAACTCATGCCTGGCTGTGACGTAAATGGTGTGCGGCCGTGAAGCCAGGACAGTAAACAAACATGTCGTCGGTGGTATGGGCGTTGGAGCTATGTGCAACTCAAGGCATATGCTCGAACGGGAGCTGCCTGGACGCTGCAATCATGTTGCGCACTATCCGTGCTGAGTGTGCTGACTTCTCGTACAATGTCCCACTGTCTGGCTTCCTGCATAAAGTCAAGTGCTCGGCGCAGTTGTGGCGAAATGTCGCTCCTCTGTTTTCATTTAAACAGCTCCTTATATGCGTTAGCGCAGCTAGCTAGCACCAAATGCTAACAACAACAATGCACGTAAGGTCTCTCTCTCGCTCGCTCGGGCCACACATACACACACCCTCCCGGTCCTCCAGATGGCCAGTCGGTGCCTGCCGGTGAGCGTGGAAGTGTGGTCTGGGTATTAAAGGTACACTTCAGATAAGATAAGATGGACCCTTAGTGATCCCCGGAATCCAGGTGTTTTAGCAGACTCAGGGACAGTTTCATCCCACTGGCCATTACACTGTTAAACACTTGGACTTTTGAAAGAACATTCATCTGTTTGCAACTTATATAATATCAATATTCCAATTACTTGTATACAGACTATTCTGCACAATTTCTATTATATTTTATTTGATTTACTTGCACTATTATCCAGGGTGCCCGCGGGGTCTTAAAAAGTATTCAAAGTTGATAAATCAATTTAGCGAAAATGAAGGCATTTTCCAAGGTATTGCATTTTGTAGCTTGTTTTCAATAAGTATATAAATGGTCCAAAGAGGTTGTATTCTACAGTCTGCCTGAATGTAATCATGGCGTAGGTGTGTAGTGTGATTCTGTGTAGTTTATTGATGGCATCCCGTTGGGTTTGACGTCATCTGAACAGGACATCGCACGCTCACGGCTTGGCAGGAGCGGGGCTGTCAGCATCAGCTTGTAGATGGTATTTTAAACTCGATGCGCTCTGAAACTACGGGGCGGCCAAGGAAAAAAAATACACATTAAAATAATTAGTGGCGTAACATTTCTTTTATTATCGGTTATCGGTATCGGTCTTGAGAAGCAGGAAGTTATCAGTATCGATTTCAAAAAACCAATATCGTGCATCCCTAATTGTTATCTTTTTGATTTATTTGTTTATTCCACACATGGCAGTTATTTTAAAACAAACCATGTACACTTTACAAACCATGTACACTTTACAAACCATGTACACTTTACAAACCATGTACACTTTACAAACCATGTACACTTTACAAACCATGTACACTTTACAAACCATGTACACTTTACAAACCATGTACACTTTACAAACCATGAACACTTTACAAACCATGTACACTTTACAAACCATGTACACTTATACTGGGTGTTTTTTTTTTATAGCGCATGGTGGAAAGGAGCAGGGAGAAGAAAATCTTATTTTACCTGCCCCTTCTTACAAAACAATAACAACAAATGAAATGACCATTAAAAAGTCAGCAATATTCTTTCAGTCGCTTACAAATACTGAAACATAAAACCAGAACACAATCAAAAGTTAACTTCATACTTTCTAATTACACTTTCTTTGTACATTTTTTTAAACATCAAAATGTTCTTTCAGCCCTCTAAATCATTCGTCAAAGAATTCCACTTCTTTACGCCTAACTACAGAGACTGCATTGATTGGGCTTCTGGTTGGAGACAGGAAGTGCGCTTTTATCTGATTGTCCGAGAGGCGACAGCTTCCTCCCAGATCCTAGGGGATTAAAACAAATAAATGTCTTCTATAGTTGATCCACAGGACCCATTACAATAACTCATTTGACCAGGTGTCGAATAAAATAGCTCTACATTGAAACAAAGTAAGAATGAAATTTAAACGTTTCTTAGAAACAAATTGTACAAAAACTATTTGAACATCTTTTTCAAAAGCTGTGTTTTGGTTGGATTATTTTTAAATGTTGACCTATTTGACAACAACCTGAGAGCAACGTTTAACAGAAGCTTTGTGAAGTACAAAAAGGGAAACTTCCTAATCATAATCTGTCGGCCCGTAAAGAAAAACATGCTCTAACCCAGGGGTGTCAAACTCAATTTCATCTCGGGCCAGTTTTATATATAAGACTATATAAAAATACATAGATGAATATTTAATATAATATAAAATAATGTATTATATTATATTACATGATTGCCTCTGCATTGGATTATTATCGGATAGGGTAATAACTTCATAAGTCTCTTAAGTGAGAATGTCACAAAATGATTTAAAATAAAAGTCAAATTCTGGAAAAAAAGTAATAAAAAAAAAAGTCATTTTGAAGAAAAAGTCAGATTCTAAGAAAAAAGCCACATTTGAGATGCATTGTGGGACATGTAGTTTATGGGCAACGTGCTTCTGTAAATTGGCATGTAACGTATAAAAAACATTATATTCTTTACAAGCTCTTGTGGGGCCGCATTAAATGAAGTCACGGGCCGGATTTGGCCCCCGGGCCTTGAGTTTGACACCCCTGCTCTAACCTAGCAGGCAAAACAAATCTACACTCTTAACTAGGGTTGCAACATTCAGGGGAATTTTCAAAGATGGAAACTTTCCATGGGAATAAACTGGGAATTTTCTAAATTGAAGGTTGGCTCTTCATAGGGAACTTAAATAGAGTTGGGGAAAGTATATTTTAGCATAATCTATCTGAATAAAACAAACAGATGCAATTCAAGTACACTTGGATATCCATGCCATTCCTCCATCACATGCACATGGCACACTGCTTACTGCATGGCTATTTAGACCACACCCCCTACAGCAGGGATGGGCAACTTGGATGGTGGTGGGGGCCACATCATTTATGTACTGGCCACCAGGGGGCCGCAGATTCACTTGGAACTAGGGTTGCAAAGGGGCGGAACATTTCTGGTACATTTCCATGGGAAGTTAAGCTGGAGAATTTTGGAAATGTTCCATATTGGAAACTTTCCATGGGAATGATGGGAACTAACTGGGAATTGAGGGTAATGTAATCGAATTGTATCATATCCAAGCATAAATATATGCATTTTGTTTTGTCATAAGAAAATGTCCATGCTAAATGATACAATTAAAAAAACATGACATTTCAACAGATTTATTTGTAAGTAGAACAGAACAAGTTTTAATTATTTTATTGAACAATCATTTGTTTCATTGAAGAACAAAAACATGAATGTTGAGTTAAATATGACTCATCCCTCCCCAACCCCACTCATTCAAAAATGTGCTTTGGGCTCAAAAGTGTGGTCCAGTCTTCTGGAAATCATCTGTGCATGTGATGGAGGCATGCACAGTGCCTGCAGGGGGTGTGGTCTCAATAGCCATGCAGTAAGCAGTGTGCTATCGCATGGATATTCAAGTGTACTTGAATGGCATCTGTTTGTTTTGGTCAAGATTATGCTGAAATATACTTTCCCCAACTATATTTAAGTTCCCTGTGAAGAGCCATCCTTCAATTTTGAAAATTCCCAGTTAATTCCCATGGAAAGTTTCCAATATGGAATATTTCCAAAATTCCCCAGCAAAACTTCGCATGGAAATTTACCGGAAATGTTCCGCCCCTTTGCAAACCTACTCTTAACTAATTTGTTGTTGTCGTTTTTACAGAAACGACTTCATATTAGGTTTTTAATTTCAGACATGTGTGTTTGTATAAATAATAGTAATTCTAAATGTACATGTAAGAAAAACATGATCTAACCTAATATTGAACAATAAATCTATGCTCATTTGTTGTGTCCGTGCCCTTCCTCTCGTCCTCAGCTCGGCTCCATGCTCTCCGCCCAGCCCTCGGAGCTGGGGGCCTGCGGCGGATTCATTCCCGACAGCCGGGACCTGAAGACCCTCCTCCTGCACCAGCAGGCCAAGGGGCTGCTGGGTATTAAAGGTACACTTCAGATAAGATAAGATGGACCCTTAGTGATCCCCGGAATCCAGGTGTTTTAGCAGACTCAGGGACAGTTTCATCCCACTGGCCATTACACTGTTAAACACTTGGACTTTTGAAAGAACATTCATCTGTTTGCAACTTATATAATATCAATATTCCAATTACTTGTATACAGACTATTCTGCACAATTTCTATTATATTTGATTTGATTTACTTGCACTATTATCCAGGGTGCCCGCGGGGTCTTAAAAAGTATTCAAAGTTGATAAATCAATTTAGCGAAAATGAAGGCTATTAAAAAGTATTAAACGGCATTTTCCAAGGTATTACATTTTGTAGCTTGTTTTCAATAAGTATATGAATTGTCCAAAGAGGTTGTGTCTCTACAGTCTGCCTGAATGTAATCATGGCGTAGGTGTGTAGTGTGATTCTGTGTAGTTTATTTATGGCATCCCGTTGGGTTTGACGTCATCTGAACAGGACATCGCGCGCTCACTGCTTGATAGCGCGCGGAGGTCCGTTTACGCCGGTTGTTAAACAACATCGTTATGGGGTCCAAAGTCTGCGTCTAAATGGTTGGAAGATAAGGAGGAAGGACCATCAATACTGTTATCTGTTTTATTCATGTTGCTCTGTTGGAGGAGCCTGGGAACTAAGATTGTCATTGTCATAAATACACTGTAGCTATGCACACATGACAATAAAAGCCTTGACTCTTGAGATACAGAATAATAATACATTGGATTTTTATAGCGCTTTTCCTAATGCTCAAAGACGCTTTTGGCGCAGCAGCCATTACCAGCAAAGGTCTAGATAGCCTTGGACTAATACTACGGAGAAATAAAAGACGCCACACACTTGCATTGTAGTTCACATGACACTGACTGAGTTCTCCGAGTGAGCCAGCAATGATCCCTTTATTAGAACCAGCTGTGTGATTGACAGATTGACAGATATGACGTCAGCATAAGAGCATTCAAGAGATGAATCGTTCACAACAGTTCAACACCCCCACTTGATCTTATTCTGACAACCTTTGACATACATTTACACTTTTTTTTCATTTTAACCTTCAACACCAAAAATGAAATACACAAACTTTTCAATCATGCCCTTTGTTACAGGCTTGGTTAAAATATCAGCTACCATTTCTGTTGTCGGGCAGTATTCAATAATAATGTTTCCATCACTAACTGCAGATCGAACAAAATGATATTTGAACATGTGACGACACACAGGATTCTTTGATAGTGCAATTGCCCCTTGGTTGTCCTCAAAGATTGTCCCTGGTGCATAATCATTTCCACTGTCCATTCCTTTTAATAATTACACAAGATAAAAACGTTCCTGTGTAGCATCTGCCAATGCCATATATTCTGCTTCACATGTGGATAAAGCAACTTCTTAGATCTCCAGGAAATAACAGGTCCTGTCTGACTTAGACTAAAACAGTACCCAGTTGTGCTCCGTCACAATATGCAACAAGTTTTAGTTTTGAATCACTTCTCTTGTAACACAACTCCTGGTCTACAGTTCCCTTCAAGTATCTCAACACATGTTTTGCTGTTACCATATGCTGTTCTTTTGGTTCGGATAAGTGTTGAGACAACTTACTGACAATAAAACTTAGATCAGGTCTAGTACATGTCATCACATAAATCAAGCTGCCTACCACTTCACGATACCTCTTTTGATCAACAGATTCACCTTCATTGTCAAATTGTTGTTTATACTCGCATGGAGTCGATCTTGCCTTGCAGTCAAACATGGAGTCGATCTTGCCTTGCAGTCAGACATGTCAAACCTTTGCAATATTTTCATGATGTACCTTTTCTGGTTCATCTTTATTTCACCATCTGTCTGTGTGAAATCAATGCCTAGAAAGTTCTTAAGTTTGCCAAGATCTTTCATCTTAAATTTGGCTCCAAATGTCTTTTACATTTTGGATTGTTTGACTGTTGCTTCCTGCAATGATAAGATCATCAACCCGGATTATCAAAATAATCCTTTCACCTTTAGATGTTAGTTTACTGTAAACACAATGGTCAGCCGGATTTTGAATAAAACCATTTTCACTTAGATAATCATGGAGCATTTTATTCCAATTCCGTCCTGATTGTTTCAGACCATCCAGTGATTTGTTAAGTTTACAGACCAGTTTCTCCCCCTTCTCTGACTTAACCTCAAATCCTTCAGGTTGTTCCATAAACAACTCACAGTCTATAGGAGCATGTAAATATGCCGTTTTAACATCCATTTGATGCAATTCTAAATCATGTTGTGCTGCGATTTGCATTAGACTACGTACAGATGTCATATTTGCAGTTGGAGAAAAGGTTTCCTTATAATCAATACCAGACACTTGACTATAGCCTTTTGCTACATACCTGGCTTTGCATGTTTTAACTGGGTTCTCTTTTACTGTGTAAACCCATCTGCCCCCCACTGCATGTTTACCTTCTGGCAGTGTGGTCAGGGTAAATGTGTCATTTTCCCTGAGTGAATCCATTTCCTCCTCCATAGCTTTAGCTCATCATTGAGCATTTGGTGATGTCATAGCCTCCTTCAATGTTTGGGGCACAAATAACTCTATAACAGTAATCAAGGGTTAGTTCTCCTTGGTCATCAGATTCGACTTTACATAATCCTTCAAATATTGAGGAGGTTTTCTTTCCCTTTGTGGATAAGATGTACTCTGGAAATATTGAGGAGGTTTTCTTTCCCTTTGTGGGTAAGATGTCCTCTGGCTACTTTGGCCTTCACCTGTCTGAATGTTATCACAAATCTCCGTCTCATTTTCCTGTGACTCTTTTGGGATTACATTTGCCTTTTCAATTGTTGGTAGGTGGTTTCCAGCTCTCCTCATACTGAAATCTTCATCATCCGTTTCCTGCTCTGTTTGAGTCTGACTCTCAATGACACTTGGTGATGAATTTGACCAACCTATTTTTGAGTACTCGTCCTGTGTCAGGATGAAACACCAAGTAAGCAGGGCTGTTCTTATCACAGCCTACAAAAATACCCTTTTCAGATCTTGAATCCAACTTTTGCTTGTAAGCATAGCATGGTGACCCAAATGTTCTCATTTTTGAAAGGTTAGGCTTCTTTCCTGTCAACATGTAGTATGGAGTCTGTCCTACACGTCTGTTGTAACACCTATTTCGAATGACAGCAGCAGTCATAACTGCATATGTCCACAACTCTTTTGGTAGGTTACTCTCAATTAGCATGCATCTTGCCATTTCAAACAATGTTCTCCAATTTCTCTCAGCTGTCCCGTTGTGACGGGGTGAATAAGGAGCTGAGGTCTCATGTCTGATGGCATTTCTACTTAATGACTGAAATTGACCAGAAGTATACTCAGTACCATTATCAGATCTAATGCATTTGATTTTTCCATAAGGTGAAACGTCAGCAATGTACTTCTCAGTAGCCTTGACTGTGTCACTCTTAGATTTCAAAAAATAAACGAAAACTGCTCCTGAATAGTCATCAGTAAATGCTAATGTGTATCTGAACCCATCTTTAGCTGTAGGATCTATAGGTCCAGACGAATCTGTGTGTACAAGCTGCAGTGCAGCCTTTGCCCTTTCATCTGGCTCTCTGCTCCTGCTCTGAGCAAATGTCCCTTTTGTGCACACTTCACATGTCAAATTAGATGTATCAGTTTTGCCTTTAATTGTCATACCCTCTGTGACTTTTTGCAATTTCAACACATCTTCGTAGTTACAGTGACCTAGAATTTCGTGCCATGTTTTGATATCATAACACCCATGACATTCATCAACATCTTCATCATTAACTGTGTTTAAATAAAACAATCTATCATACACCTTAATATCAAATGTCGTACCGTTCTCGTGAATGAGCTTGTTCTGTCCTTCTTTGAATACGACCGTGGCTCCATTGGTCGTCGCTGCTTTGACCGAGAAAATGTCTTGGGGAAAGGATGGGACGTACAGCGCCCCCGTCAGCATCGTCTCCACCTCTCGACCCGTATTGTCTTTCAGCCAAACTTTGGCTGCACCTCTCTTCAGCGCTATGCCAGAGGCCCTCACTCCATCAGCCAACTCCAGGACATGTTTTCGTGGCTCGAAACTCTCGTCAAAGTCTTTGAATTTGTTCATGTCAGTCACTATGTGCGATGTAGCACCGGTGTCGACCATAAGCCCTCTTTGCTTCAGTCCATCGCCCGGGTCGCTGTCCACCTGTCGTTCGCGGGCCTTGAAGGCGAATGTGTGGTGGTGGTCGTGGTCCTCTTCGTCCATGGCCTGTTTTACGTTGTCTCGTCGTCCTCTCCGCCTGCAGTTTGCATCTCTGTGCGTGGAACTCCTGCAAAAACGGCACCACTGTCTCTGTTGTTCCCCGTGACCAGCAGCCTTGCACTCGCGGGCCCTGTGACCCCTCTGGCCGCAAGTATAACAGGTCAGCAGCTTCACATCAAAGTCTTTGCCTCTTACTTTCATCACGCTGTCATCAACTGAGCTCCCACTGAACTTCTCAGTGCTCTCGTAGCTCCTCAGCTTGGTCTTGA